CGAAACTGAGTCCCTGTGCTTGCCTAAGCAGGCACTTAGTCTGCTGAGCTGTCTCACCGGCCCCTTTCTTTACCCTTTGAATATAATGACAATTACTTCAACGTCTTTTTATTTAACTTTTGATTTGTCTTTTTAAAATGATTTTTTCATTCTATCCCCAGCACTGCCAAAAACTGTGGTTAGATTTAATTTAGTGGTTACGTGTTTTTGCTAGTGCGCAACGTCTGATGTTTACCACTTTTTTTTTTTCAGTACCAGGGATTGAACTCAGGACCTTGCGCTTGTCAGGCAGGTGCTTGTGCTTCTGAGCTATATTCTTTGCTCTGTTGGTTTTTTTGACACAGGTTCTTGTTATGTAGTTTAGGCTGGACTTGAACTCAGTATGTAGCCCAGGCTGGCCTCAATCTTGTGATAACCCTCCTGCCTCAGCCTCCAAAGTGCTGGTATTATCAGTGTATATCACTATACCTCGTTTATTTAACAACTTTTGACTCAGAAAACAACAGTTTGATGTGATTCAGCTTTGAAGCTCTGGTACCAAAGGCAGCTCTACATTTGTAACTTACTTATTTTGTTTTGCTTGTCGAAACAAGATCTATCTGTATAGTTCAGGCTGTCTTTAGCTCACTATGGAGCCCAGGTTGGCCTCCCACTCACAGGCATCTGCCTGCCTCAGCCTCCTGAGTGCTGGGATCATGGGCATAGACTACCATGCCCAGCTGTATTTGTGACTTTAAATTTCCCTTTGTTTTTTTTTTTGGCAGAACTAGGGATCGAACTCAGACCCTTGAGCTTGCCAGGGAAGAGCTTATTCCACTGAGCCATCTCGCCAGCCCCTAAGATTCCCATGATCTTGATACACCAACCAGCCGCAGTCTCTGTGAATTCCCCATCACAGAAGCGGTGTCGCACCTGCCCTGTGCGCTCCTTTCCCCTCCACTTCCAAAACTTCTGGTGAGACCGTTCCCTTTTGTATTCTTAATCAGAGTTAAAAATTTGGTGATTTTGTTGTTGTTTTGTATTTTTTAGGACAGGGTATACAGGGTCTACAGGGTCTCACTACATAGATCGGATTCTTAGTGATCCTCCTAGGTTCAGCCTCCCAAGAGCTGGATTACAGGTGTGCGCCACCATGCCCAGGCTCAATCACATCTCAGCGAACCCTGGGGACAGGGCTGGCGTGGCTTGTGGTGCCAGGGATTAAACCCCAGCCACTGCATCTGCCTAAGGGTCAAATGCTTTAATCTGCTGAGCTATTTGGTCAGCCCTTTGGCCAGCCCTTGTTGTTGTTGTTGTTGTTGTTGTTGTTGTTGTTGTTGTTGTTGTTTTGAGACAGTGTTGCTATGCAGTTCAGGCTGGCCTCGAACTCATAGTGCTCCTCCGGCCTCAGCCTCCTGAGCTCTGGGATTACACGTGAGCATCAACTCTCCCAGGAAATATGATAAACAGTGGTATAGCAGAGAAAAGCGAAAGCCAATAAAAGACAAAAAATAAAATTGCAAAACTGAACAAGAAAAAATAAGGATGATATAAGGATTTCTTGAAAGTATAACTGAAGATTCAGCCGAGGTTTTCAAGTTAAATGAAAAAGCACTATGAAGGGAGATGGCTCAGTGGCATAGCTCCTGCCTGGCAAGTGCAAGGTCCTCAAATACTATTAAAAACATTAGCCCAGGCCTGGGGAGATGACTCAGTGAAGTAAGTGCTTCCCTGGCAAGCGCAAGGGCCTGAGTTTAATCCCTGGTTCCACAAAAAAAATTAGCCTAAAACATTTGAAGACAAAGAGAAAAAATGGATGATTTCTAGAAGGTGGGAGCAGTGGTTATAAATAAATGACACCTGCATGATTCCCACACGCTGCTGGCCGAATCCAGAGGGACCCCCGTCCTCATCCCCACGCCAGCTGGCTTCCCACAGCCTGCAAAGAAGCTGCAGCTTCTGTGTGCTCAGGTGCAGTGCTGGCAGCTTGGTCCCACAGGGTGTGCGGGGCAGCGGGTGCTTCCAAGGAGGAGCCCAGTGGGAAGGGCTGGCCACAAGCACTGTTGGAAAGAGTCCT